GGTGCGGTGCGGGGCGGGGCGGTGCGGGGCGGGGAAGGGCAGCGCCCGGACCCGCCCCAGGAGACGCGTCGCGGTGCGAGGGGATGGAGGGTCCCTCTCGGAGAAGAGGGGTTGAGACAAGCGCCAAGAGCCGGTACCAGCTCCAGCTGTTGCAGCTGTTCCTGTGTTTGCCCTCTCTTCGTGTTGAATTCGCAGCAACAACGCAGAGGCCGTTTGTTTGCGTTAAACACCGGCTGCCCTTAGCCAGCTCGGAAGGTTTTGGAATGAAGAAACTTTTAGGAAACTTCCGTTGCTGGGACTTCCCCGGGTGCTTTATTTCACGAATACTCATGTGGTGCGGGAGTCTACAAGGCACTGATGCTTCTTCCCTGGCAAAAGATCGTGGTGGCTTTTAGTTCTTGCTAAATCCTGAGTTTGCCTTACGTTGCTTTAAGATTGCTTAAGATATTGGGAGTGTTCTGTAGATCACATAGAGGAATGTTCTGCAGACCCTTCTAAACCAGACAAGCTCCAAAGGAGACCAGAGTCCACACACTCTCAGCACCTGCACTTGACCAGCAGCTCTGCAAGTGGGAATTCAAACCCCTTATAGAGAGTACATGGTGCACCTGCTTCTCCTTTTCATAGACTGACCACCACACTATCATACAGTACTTAGGCAAGCTCTCCTATTACTGGTGCTTTCTTTTCTTCAAAAGTGTGCAGGTGTTTTTTTTTGCTTATGGTTCTGTTTATCAAATGCTAATGAAGCCCAACAAGAAACTAAACAGAAGGATGGTCTCAGTTTTCCTCATGATCTGTTCTAAATTGAGACGGTTTGAGTTGCTGGGGTCAGACAGGTCTAATCATGCACAGAAGCAGAGCCCTTGACACCTCTGTGAACCTCAAATGAAGGCCCTTAACAGGTTTATTTCCAGCACTAGGTAGAAGAAGCTGTTGGAAGACATCCTGAATCAGTCTTGGCCTTGGACTGCTGCATTTGAGTCATGCTTTAGGTAGCAGGTACAGGTCTTGGAGTCTAAATCAACAGGCTCTTTAGATTAGGCAAAGATTCATCTTCCTTTACTTCTCTTGAACATTTTTTAGTCATGTGTGAAAAAGCAATACATGTGTGGGAGAGGAGAGTCTACAAAAAACTCTCCAGAAAAAGACATGGCAATGATTTGTAGCTGAAACAACCACTCTATGGAGGCTTTTTTGCTTGCTTGTTTTGGTTTACTCTTTTCCCTTTCTGAGCTAGTTAAACATTCAGTGCTCATAACTTCAATTATTCTAGTTCTTTTCAACCATAGTGTCCCCTAGGGCACAACAAAGGACTTTCCAGAAGTTATGCATAAAAACTCACAGAGCCATGTGTGTGATGGCATTCACAGAAGTAGTGATTATTGTTTAATCTTACTTTTATTTCTTTAGACTATACATTTTAATAGTGCAAACAGAATTAGCTGATGTTTGAGTATGTACTTCATATATTTCTACCCACAGACTAGTGGTCTGAAGGTACAGTAAACCTTATCACCTAGATAAGGCAGTTCTTTCCTGTCTCAAACCAAGTACAGTTTTTACTGGATCCTTGCTGCAGTCTCAAGCCATGGAAATGCTTTGCATGGTTAATTTTAGAAATGTTACACTCTCATATGCTTCTTACATTTACAATTGTGTCAGTTGACACCAGTGTTCACAGATGAAAGATGTTACTTGCAGCAGTGGCACTAGCTCTTGGGATGCTTCTTTAGGCACAGATATTATAGTGAATAAAGTAAAATCCAAGCTGAAGCGTTGTTGGATTTCTAGATTCTATAACACACATTATTTCCTTCCTAAGTGTTTCTTATTTTTTCACACAGAATCATTTGCTTTGGTTACTTTTATGAAAGTGGAAAAAAAATTGCAACTTAACTTACTGTTTGAATAGAAAACCATTAAGGAAACTTGATGTAAATGCCTAAGCAATGCCCTAGTGAACATCTTCTGTTATCACATATTCTGGTTTCACTGTGAATTTTTAATATTTGTTCCCCTTGTTATACTTTTTTTTAGGCTGGCTGAAGCAGCAGTGAGGATGGCAGAGGGACGGAGCATGTAGCCCCACATGCCCTGGGATATGGAGAGTGTGCTGCACGCTCTGGTGGCAACACAGCTCTGAGAACTCATGCTCCCCTACCATTTCCCTGTCTGGTACTGTATGTTGAGCCACGTGATCTCAAAGCTGTCTAATTCCCTCGTGATCATCATGTGTCTTTCTGCTCTCTTTGATCCACCAGTGCAATGAACCTTTCTCTGACTTTTCCTCTGTGTTTCTGTGTCCTTTCTCAGTTGTCACACCAAGGAACAAAACTCTGCCTCCAGTCATTAAGAGCATGGAAATATCCTACTTGAAGTATTTCCCAATGCAAGTATCTCTAACAGTCAAAATTAATTACCTAGACAATTCTGGCTTCAATACTAAGAAGAAAGCCTATGTATTAAGCTTGCAAAACAGCAACTACAGAGCTGTAGTTCTCCATAAAACAGTTTATACACCTATTATGTGCATCATTTCAGAACACTGCACCACATCTGTCACCAGGTAATGCAAACTCTGACACTAGAAAAATAAAGAAAAAGCAACCAAAATTATTTGCTTTTGGTTAAAAGCATCCTGTATCACACTTGTTTGCAGTCAGCACACCTATCTGTTCATCTGTGTTCATTTGAATGGAAAATATAACATATATCATTACTGCACACACGCGCACACATACAAGGTAATCCTACACAGGAAGCAAAATGCTTTGCCAAAGCTTCTCCTGCATTATTCAGATCCTGAGTTTTCTAACTCTCTAGGAAATGTAACAGAAAGATTTGGCTGCTCTTGAGTAATCTGGACTGAAATGTTAATAGTTTATGCTTCAGTTGATCTTTTCCCCTTCAATTTTTTCAGAAGTCTGAAATGTATCATTGGCCAGGCTCAGATTTGTCAGCTTTTCCTGAATTAGACTGTAAAGAACAAAAAAATATTTTTAAAGAAACTTGAAATAAAATGCTGTGTAGCCAGAATCCCTGGGTTCTATCCTTCTTCTTAACTGTGGTCAGTTAAATGCATCTGGAGAATGGATGAGAGGGTCAGGAATTCTTGGGCACTCTCAACTAAAGAAAGTCACATAATTCTCCTGCCTGTAAGAATCTCTAGAACTTTACATCACTAGGAAATCTTTGTGGGTTCAGTCTGCTGGACCCTGGCTAATGCCTTTTGAGGTGCCCCGGAGCATCCTGTTGGGCCTTCAGCTGCTTTTTCAGGATGATACTGGTCTTCTGCCCATCTTGTGTCCCTTCAGCCAGCCCTCTGCGGACATCTAGGATTCCTTAGATGGCACAAGACCTCTACGTGTGGACAAGTGAATTCTACTTTAAATGCCTATCAATAGCCAGTGATGGTCCAAGTAATTAGTCAGCGGGACCTGGAAATGATGGAGCACATCCCGAAGAAGACATCTAGTGGCTACTGCCCTACATTGCTCCTCAGGCCTCACCAAGAGTATTTGCTAGGAATGAGATTCGGCTGCCTGAGCTCCTCGTGCCGCTTGAGACGTCCTTGCACATCCTGCCTGGCCTTCTGCTCACACCGCAGCAGGGCGGGGGTTTTCCACAGGTCTTGTGCCAGCCCCATCTAGGTGTCCCGGATGCCATGCGGCATCTAAATGCCACTAGACAAGCTACATGTAAGCAAGTGAAGCCTCAGCTCTCTGAAATGCAAGCTCAGACATCTGGCTCCTATGTAGACACCTACATTCTGATCTCCCGTGGATCTCAGCTCTGGATGAGCTTGTTTTCAAACAGTGATGCTACAAAGCACTAAACTCAGGTCACCTCACATTTGCTGGCGAGGCTCTGGCTGACCGAGTCTGGAATTCATGGCTCTCCACAGACAAGGGACACGGTTTTCTGCAGGGTGAGAAAACTGGCCTCCTCCGTGTTAGAAATGAAATGTAGCGTTGATTTTGCATTCTAGTGTTAGAAACGTAGCGTTGCGTTTGGTTTATATATACATATATGTATCCTAGTGTTAGAAATACATAGTTTGTTTGAGATAAGTGAGATATCTGACAGCAGGAGTGGTTTAAATATATAGCTTGTTTGAGATAAGTGAGATATCTGCACATTCTAAGGACACCAGAAGTGGTTTATGGCCCAAGAAACTGAGGGAGTGAATTGGGCTCCATCTGGGGATCCAAACATGGAGCAGGATTTAAGGCCCAAGATCAGACCCAACAAAGCCACTTCTGTCTTGCTCCTCAGGACAGGATGACACCAGTAGATTTGTTAATTGGGAAGACAGCCGAGGGGGCAAGAAAGGTCAAAATTTTACCTTAAAAGGTAAAAAGCAAACTGCAAGAATGGAATGTGTGAACAGGGGCGGGAAACTTACAGGATCATTTGAAGCGTCGGATGGGCTGTGACCCTGGAACTGCCCGGCCAGTGGGGAAACAGGGGAGGGAACTTTGCGTCGGGAATGGGGAATATAACCCGTTATTCACTTGCCTACGGGTGCGCTGCTTGTTTGGGTCACCCGTTCTTGCAAGAGTGTGAATAAACTGTGCTTCGCTGAAGCCTCTGGGCCTCTGCGTTGGCGCGACACACGTTCCTCACACCGCACCAAGCCCGCAAAAGCGCCCGGTGCCGCCCGCACTGCCGGGCGGGCGTGTCGCGGCCAGAGGGGCTGCGGG